AAAAGTGTTTGGTGAGTCGGCCGACTCACTATTCTTGTGCAGTCTCCCTATAAAATATATCTCAAAAATGTATTTTCGATTCAAACTTTTAGAGTTCAATATTCTCAACCGTGACAATGATCTAAATTTAAAATTTTTCTTTTTTTAAAAAAATATAAATATTTTTTTTTTAATTATTTTCTTCACCGTCCATCTTAACCTTATATAATCATTCCTGATTAGCGCTATACATAAGATATTGACTCAACTTTGAGTGACTTTGCAGAGGTTATTTGTATGGTTTTCGGGAATCCCTTGCTTGCGAAACTAAGAATTTTAAATATTGGGATCCCATCAAATATCGTAAACATAGTTAGCTAGGAGCGAAATATATGAATACGATAATAAAAGAAGTGTCAGAAATAAAACAAACACAAAAAATACCTTATAACCACACAAAATTTAAGTTCTTAACAAGTAGAAATCCAATATCTCAATGAGTTTTGAGTTATAAGAGATATACCTCTCTTTAAACATGGGTAACAACCTTACCGGTCTTCTCTTCTAAAAAGGATCCACCATCAAACACACACCAAATCTATCTCAGATTGAAAGAAAAGACATAACTTTGAGTATTGACAAGCAAACAAGAGTGGAGCATGCTTGAGAGGCTGACACAAGAGAACATTTTTATCAATTAAACTAATTTAAATGCAATATAAGTTAATTATCGACTGTATATCAAAGCCGACAAGGCTCTAATGATAATGATGATAATCAAATGTATATCAAAAGATAAAAACTAAATTAGCTGAAGAACTTAAAGATTATATAAGTCAGCAGCCCAGCCCAGATTGAAGGAGAATGTTGACTTAGAGATTGAGAGCAGCATACAAATTTTGCCCATATTTATTTTTTTTCTTTTTTTTGGGAGCACCTAAATGCGCAAATCTTAGGGTCCATAAGGCTACTTTTTACAGAAAATTTTTTTTGTAAGTAATTCTTACCATTAGTTTATGGATCATGGGCTTAAAAAATATCTTTCCTAGTTAAAAAATTAGTTATTTTTTGGGTAATTTAGTGGAGAAGACAGGCAAGGTGCTAGTGGAGTAGTGTCAACAAAAATAAAAACTACAACATGGTGACGAGAGTGAGGGGTAATACAACATAGTGATTAGAGTGTTAATCGAACATGTGCATGTATCATATTTGGTAATCAAGGAGGGCAAAAAAGTTCCCTTTAAGTGCTGAAAATGGGACCAAAAAAAAAAACGAGGTCAATTGTTTGCATTGCCAATTTTCTTTTCAAATGCTTTTCATGAGAGAAGTGAACTTCAGTTTCCATTGGGGAAATAAATTGCCCAAAAAATCCCATTTTTTGGACCATTTATTACTTCGAAAATGTAACACAAGTATTCAAAAACCTTTTACCTTTTTCATCAAGTAGGGATCTGGCTTGAAATTTGAAGCTTATGTGCCTCTCATTGGACCGATATGCAAAAAATACCCAAAAACAATTTATTCAAATGAAATAAAATGACCAACATACTTAAATGTTCATAACCAACTACTCGAATTTCTGCCTGGCAGATTTCAGAATTATTTTTTTCAATTTTATTTTCAGCTTCAAGTGCTAAGAGGTTCAAATGAAAAAAAGCTTATGGTGGATACCTAGGCACCCAGAGACGAGAAAGGGCGTAGTAAGCGACGAAATGCTTTGAAGAGTTGAAAATAAGCATAAATTTGAAAATTCCTAAATGGGCAGGAGCTGTTGACATTGTGCACAGTTAAAACTTTGTAGAGCGAAATCCTTGGTGAATGATAAATCCTCCCCAAGCATTCCAGAATTGCATTGCATAAGATCTTGACTGACATTGAATTCGCATGGATTCATCGTCATCCCTTTGCCTATAATGTATAAAGTGTCAACCTTAAATAATCGTCCATAATGGTCTAAAAATGTATTTTGCCATTAATTGAAAGATCTAGCTGTGCTGGAACTTCCTTTTTAAATAGACATTTGAGGTGACACCATATATATAAACTTTTTAAAGGGAATGGGAAACTTATCGGGGGCACGAACCTCATCCTTAATCTTATTTTTGCGCAGACACCTAATTATTGTTATTATTATTAGAGTGACGATCCTATGAGTCCCTGCCACACCTTGGGTGGGATGCCTAGAGATCACTATAAAATCCACTTCTCAATCTCAAATTGAGATTAGGCTTTACTAGGTAACCCACTCCAAAGCAGGTTACCAGTGACTTAATAAAGCAATCCCAACCTTTTTTTTTCAAGAGAGAGAGAATGTGTGTAGTAGTATAGAGAGTTTTGAAAAAAAAAGGGTTGGGATTGCTTTATTAAGTCGCCGGTTACCCAGTAAGCGATGTATTCGAAAGCATGCCGGGTAATCTCTCTCTCCCTCTTTTATTCGTATGAGCACCACCCTCTCTCTCTCTCTCTCTCTACCCTGTAACCATTGATTTCCTCTCTCTATCTCTCAATGACTCTCTCCCTCTCTACAACCTTGGACCCCCTTCTCTCCGATATCTCCCTTCATAAGCCTGCAACCAAATCTTCATGCGATAAGCTCTCAAAACCTTTAGCATACATTCAAAATCCCCAAATATTTACTTCTCTCCAATCAAATCCCCAAAATTCTCTTAAAAACCCATAAAAAATCTCACAAAAGATCTCAAATCTCTTCCTCCATTGATCTCTTTAAACCCTCAACATACCACCAAAACCCTAAAATCAAGTGCTCTCCATTAAAAAATCCCAAAGGACCGATAATGAAAACCCTCTAGGAATCTCTAATGAAAAGGTAGATTGGATAATAGAGAGTTGCAGATTTAAAAAAATTGAGCTTCATCGAACAACAGAGAGTTGCAGATTCAAGAAGAGGTGATAGGAGAAGAGAGAAGCGGGAGTTAGAGAAAGAAAGTACATGTTAGATGGGGATACTTTCTGTGAGAAAACCTCCTTCAAACATGATATTAGAGAGAAAAATCTTGTGCCCCAATTTTGGAGAAAAACCCTTCAAAACATCTTTTGAAGAGAAAAAGCATTTCAATATTCATTATCATTATCATTATTATTGGTTTAAGTGATTTAAAATTTACATTTTTAAACCGCCCAAACACTTAGTTATTATTATTGGCTTTAAGTGGTTTAAAGGTTGCATTTTTAATCCGCCCAAACACTCAGCTTTGTGTGTTTAGGTTGTTTGAAAGTCGAGACTTCAAAAAAATAAAACACTCCAAAATTTTCGATCTACCTCACCCTAAAATGTCCATACTTAAATACCGAAATTAATTTGTGTTTGTATGTAAATTTTCCCTCTATTAAATCATAATAAATGGCAAAAGGCCAGGAAACCATTGATCTTACTACTAGTTACAAGGAAATTTATTTCACATCTCCCGGAAGCTCAGGTGTCAGATTTGAACTTGTCGTGGTGCGGCAATGTGGACACCTTAACTAATCAAAGCCCAAACCCAAGCCCAAATCCTCTTAACATGAGGATAGAGGCTTTATACAATTATATATTTGCTTCAAAGAAAAAATAAAATCCAGTGCCGAGTCTCCTAGAAATGAAATTGTTCAGATCCTCAGTACTTTTAACCACATCAATTATCATGTTCACTTTTGTGTGTGTGTATTTGTTTGTGTGTGTGAAAGAGAGAGTGAGAGAGAGAGAGAGAGAGAGGGGTCAGATATTCAGTATCGCATCGGCAAATCTCATAGCATAAAATTGATTCAGCTCTTTTGACCTTCAAATACGAGAATTCTTATTGTACCCACCACGTAAATTGAGGTTCAGAATCAACCAAAAAAAAAACACATATTAAGCAGTCTTCCCACAAAAATCTACAGGAACCTTGACTAGTTACGCTGACCACAAGCGCAAGCTTCAAATTCATTAGGATCAATACCAATACAGAGATGAACAGCTTCACAAGCTTTATTTCATCCAATCCTGAAGACTCTTCTCTACTATCCACATTCACCACGGGATGAGAACAGGTAAAAGATATAAATGGTCCATAAAAATGAATACAACAGAATACAATTAACTAATTTGTGAAATACCAACCTCACAAGGACATGCAATGAAGTCTTATTCAGCTCTGGATTGGCCAGCTCGGGATGAGAGAATGATGCCCACAATGAGACCATAGAGGGCAAGTGCTTCAGCAAAAATGAGAATGAGAATCATCCCAACAAAGAGCTTTGGCTGCTGAGCATTGGCCCTGCAAAATAGACACCAGTGTTAGCTTGCTAGCACACGAGCGCGTGCACACACACACACACACACACAGGTGCTGTGACGCCGCCAGACTAATCATGTATTCTCAAATACTATGTGCACACTCCAAAACTAAATTCCTAGATTTCCTTTTCCCTTTCGGTGAATTTCAGATTTACTAATGAATCTAACTTTGGAATTTTAAGAAACCTATTGGATATTGAACCTATCCACTTCTGTCTTGATTGTGTGGCCAAATGCCTGACAATCAGGTAAACTCTTAGGCATTATACATCAACTCTCACTAAGCAACCCATCATCATGTTCAGACTTCAAGAAACCATCACTCAACTCTCCCCATTGACTGCTATGTCACGATTTCGGAATTGCAGTGTTAGCTGTCAACTTCGACACTCGAAGCAGGTCATCCACTCTAAAACCATGGAACTCCTAACTGCCAAGACACGAGATAAATGAATGTTCAATCATTAGCTCTTAACTGAAATCCTTGTAGCCTGGATTGTTTCTTATATATGCTCCAGAAGGGATACATTCCAAAGTAACCAACTTGCCATCACCCAGTCAATTGCCAAAACATTTAGAAAATCCATTCTTTCATAGAGTCGATCAAAACGAGAGGTTGCCCATTCCCTTCAAAAGTTCAAACTAGAGTTGGAAATAACGAGTTGGGCCGACTAGTCGGTCATGGCACAAGCCGTTAGTCAGACCAACTCCGACTTAGTCACAGCCAATTAGTGCCAAGTTTTATACTGGAAAAAACAAATGGGGGTAAAAAGTCCCCAAAAAATTATAAGAAAATTGTAAAAAATGTTTAAATTTTATATGTATTTTTTTTTTATATTATCACATAAAAATCAATGTTTGAAAAGTCGCAGACTTCTAAAAAATCGGCCAACTAACTCGGACTAGGGCACTGACCGAGCCCGAGTAGGCTCGATTTCATAGGCCATGTATTGTGGCATTCCCCTACAATGCACTAATCAGTTGATTTACTATACAAATTGGCCCATTTATACACTAATCAGCCGATTTGTATACTAATCAATGGATGTCTGCGATGTTGTGGTACAGGTGTGTAAAGAGTTTTCTACAGCTCGAACATGGACTTTGCAAGCCTCTACTCGCTTTTTTCAAGTGTTTTAAGCTCCATTATTGAAACTTTTTCTCTTCCCAATTCTGGAAAGAGATGTGAAGAGAATCTCCATCATGTAGATGGAGATTTTTGTGCTGTAAGGGGTCTATAAGACCCCTAAGCTTTGTGCAGCAATAATAGACCCACTCTCTCTCTCCCCCCCGCACAGTGAGTCTCTCTCTATATGGGTTGGGCAAGGTGCCTCTCTCTCTCTCTCTCTCTCTCTCTCTCTCTCTCTCTCTCTGTTGTTACGTACTACGTCGTAGTCGTCGTATACGTACGTACGTAACTACTATAGTAGTACTTACTTACGTTACGTACGTACGT